AGAGAGAGAGAGGATCACACACTACTACTGAGTTACAGTAAACAGGTAAGCACCAGAGGTCAGTGACCGAGACGAGCAGTTAAATAAATAACGAAGATGATATAATTAAATAAATCGAATGTGGTTAAAGGAGAAGAGCAAATAACGGAACAAAGGACTAAGGGAGAAGAGGAGAAAGTATTAAGAAGGATTATGAAGGTGGAGGGAGGAAGGAAGAAGGAAGGAAGGACCCGCCTACAAAAGGGCACTAATTTCGATGGTGATGAAATTCATGAAAAGATAGAAGGTATTATTCCTTTAATCTTTACATAAAAACCAAATGACAAAAAAGTAAGAGAAAAAAGTGTGTGTGTGTGTGTGTGTGTGTGTGTGTGTGTGTGTGTGTGTGTGTGCGATTGAATTACTTGGTGAACTGAAAAAAAGTATTACATTATATTACTGTTATATCTTCACCCTAAACCTGATTATGAACTGGTCTTAAGCACCTTTGTTCATCATATCAATTTCTCTTCTCATTCAACATATTCTTTTCATATGTATTAAGACGTTTGCTTGAACCCTTCCTACCATATAACACAAGAGATTCATTAAAATAACGTCTATGGTCACTGTTGCATTATCCATCTGGTAAAAATGTATATAAAATCAAAAATAAAATTCACGCAGCTCATTGGCAGCCTTCTGAGTACCGCCGACCAATGACAACAATCAATCACACATACAAAACAAACATTGGCAGCCTTCTGAGTACCGCCGACCAATGACAACAATCAATCACACATACAAAACAAACATTGGCAGCCTTCTGAGTACCGCCGACCAATGACAACAATCAATCACAATACAAAACAAACATTGGCAGCCTTCTGAGTACCGCCGACCAATGACAACAATCAATCACACATACAAAACAAACATTGGCAGCCTTCTGAGTACCGCCGACCAATGACAACAATCAATCACATACAAAACAAACATTGGCAGCCTCTGAGTACCGCCGACCAATGACAACAATCAATCACACACATACAAAACAAACATTGGCAGCCTTCTGAGTACCGCCGACCAATGACAACAATCAATCACACATACAAAACAAACATTGGCAGCCTTCTGAGTACCGCCGACCAATGACAACAATCAATCACACATACAAAACAAACATTGGCAGCCTTCTGAGTACCGCCGACCAATGACAACACTCAATCACACATACAAAACAAACATTACGTGATAACAAGGAGGTATAGCCCCTAACACTCACTACTCAATATAGTTCATATGATACCCCCCGCCCCGCCGCTAGGAGAGTCGATCATCATGATAACTGTGTTTATTGACACAACCTAACACATCTATAACCATCCACTGGGAGAATAACACAAGACTCTCGATGTTATAAGAATGAGACCTCTAAAGACTCATACCCTCACGAGATCTCCTCAACACTCACGAGACCTCCTCAACACTCACACCCTCACGAGACCTCCTCAACATTCACGAGATCTCCTCAACACTCACGAGACCTCCTCAACACTCAAACCCTCACGAGACCTTCTCAACCCCTCACGAGACCTCCTCAACACTCACGAGACCTCCTCAACATTCACGAGACCTCCCCAACACTCCACGAGACCTCATCAACTAACGAGACCTCCTCAACACTCGCACCCTCACGAGACCTCCTCAACACTCACACCCTCACGAGACCTTCAACACTACTACGAGACCTCCTCAACATTCTACGAAACCTCTCAACACTCAAACTCCCCAAAGACCTCCTCAACACACACACCCTCACGAGACCCTCAACACCACACCACGAGACCTCAACACTCACGAGACCTCCACAACACACACACCCTCACGAGACCTCCTCAACACTCACGAGACCTCCTCAACACTTACACCCTCACGAGACCCCTCCATACACAACAAGCTCGACCTTACACACACACACACACACACACACACACACACACACACACACACACACACACACACACACACACACACACACACACACACACACACACACAATGATATGCATTAACACAGTCCATTACCTCCCCCTGTCAAGGAGGAAACAGGAGAAGATTAGCTAACAAGAGAAGAGAAAGGTGAAGGAGGAGAGAAGTCAAGGAGGAGGATGGGAAGAGTGAGGAAGAACAGGAGGAATAACAGGTGAAGAATAAGTAAAGGGGAGGAGAGAGGAAGGGGAGGAGGAGGAGGAAGGGGGGGAGGAATTGGGGAGGGGGAGGAAGAGGAGGAGGAGGAGGAAGGGAGGTGGAGGCGGAAAGGGAGGAGAAGAATGGGGAGAATAAGGAAGAATGGGAGAATAAATAGAAATAGGGGAGGAGAGAGGAAGGGGAGGAGGAGGAGACGAAGAAGAGGAGGAAGATGAGGAAAGGGAGGAAATGAATGAGGAAAAACAGGAAAGGGATAAGTAATAGGGGAGGAAAGAGGAGGAGGATGAAAGGGAGAAGGAGGAGGGGAAGAATAAGGAAGAAGAGAAAGAGGAGAAGTAACAGAAACAGAAAAGGTAATGAGAAGAGAGATGAGAAAAAAGAGGAGGAAGAAAAGAATGAGGAAGAGAAAAGAAGAAAAAGAACAGTAGAGGTCAAGAGAGGAAAGAAAGGTAGAAGACAAGTGAAGACGAATAAAACGCAAGAGAAGACAGAAAAGAGAGAATAAGAATTAGAGAAGAGCGAAATAATAAAGAGGGAAGAGGAGAGATAAAAAATAATAAATACATAAAAAATAATCCGAGAAAATAAAAACAAAACAAAAATAACAAAAATAAAATGACGAAGCAAAACCAATAAATGCATTAAAAAAAAAGCCAAGGTCACTCACTCCATTTAACTAATAAAAGACACCCCTACATGACCCTGTTAACCCGGTAATAGACCACTTAGCCAAGACCTAGCCTCCCAAAATAGCTCTTCCCCTCACCATCTGGCCACGGCGGTGCGCCCCTCAGAGAGCGTTTGTTTGTGCTAGCGGGGCCCCTCAATGAGCGTTTGTTTACATGTGGCAATCTAATTATCCTCCGACTGGGTGTTCCAAGGAGGAGCTACCGATGACGGTCTACCCGCATACTGGGTGAGGTGAGGGGAGGAGGAGGGGGGAGGGGGGAGGAGAGGTGAGGTAGGAGGAGAGGTGAGGGAATAGGGGGAGGAGGAGGACAGGTGTGTGAAGAGGAGGAAAGGTGAGGGAAGATTTTAGTTAACAAATTTATTGACAGAGCTTGTAGTACAGTTTACCTATTCTGAGTAATTCAGTCAGGTCTTGACACTGAGGGTGGTATCACTTCTCACTGCCACGCAGGACAGAGGTTCGTATACAAACAAATACATTATATTCATTAACAGTATATATAGGTCAGATTCATGTGGGTGATGTCACTGTTCATTGCCATGCAGGACAGTGGTTCATATACATTGGAGTCATATTCTAATTGAAGACTAATCAGTGTGGGCTAGCAAATTTGGGATAAACAGCAGGAATGTCCTCAAGCACCCCTGATTCAATGTAGTAATTACAAAGTTCATGATACAATAAGCCAGGTGGCCTGAAGTCTTTGACAGTGTCACATTCAATAATATAGTGTTCAAGTGTATGCTTTAAAGGTTTATCACAAAGTTTACATGCTGAGTGCTCCTGTATGGGTACAGCGTTACTAACTTGCCAGATGTGTCTGTATCCTAGCCTCATTCTGGCCACGACTACATCACATTGTCTGGTTCTGTCCTTATGCTGGCCAACATTTGTCATATTTACTAATGCTACAACTGCCAGGTGTCTCTGCATTTCACAGTTGAGGAGAGGTGAGGGAGGAAGGGGGAAGAGGGAGTGACGATTGGGAGGAAAGAAAATGAGGTAAAGAGGGAGAGTTGGAAGTGAGAGGAGGAGGAGGAGAGAGGGGAATGGAAGAAGATGAGGGAGATAGGAGGGAAAGATAGAGAGGAGCAGAAGGGGAACAGTAAAATGGGACAGAAATAGGAAAGAGGTCCAGGAAGGTATTGGATGGAAGAAGGAGGGTAGTGAAAGGAAACGGAAGGGAATGGAAGGAGGAGGGAAATGAAGAGAATGAGGGAGGGAAGGAGGGAGATAAGAGTTAAAATAGAACAAAAGTGAAGAGGGAGGGAGGCGATGGGTAAAAGAAGTAGGGTGATAAATTGAACTACAAATATTAAAGTGATAAATGATCCAGAAAAAAATGTTATAATTTGAACCACACTTAATTATTTAAGCCATAAATAGATAAATTATTTAATCCACAAGAAATATATTTTTAAGTGATCCACAACAAGTAATAAACAACCACATGAAGGTGTCTGCTGGTGCCCCTACCCTACCCTACCCAACTCTACCCTGGAGCCTATCCTTCCCTGCCTCTACCCTCCCCTGTAGTCCGCCCCGAGAAGGGAATTGAAAATGGTCGCCAAGTTACCAATTTTAATCATATTTTTTTTTTTTTTGGAGGGGGGGAGGGAAGAAATCAATAATAATATAGCACTTTATATACGCTTTTATAAACTAAATATAGTTGGTACACTGATGTTATTTGACGGATAGACGGACGGACGAATGCAAGAATGAACGAA